CAGAGTTGCAGCAAACCCCTACCGCCCACCATGAAAGCTGGAACGCCCACTAGTGGGAGGTAGGGACCAGGTTGACTACTTCTGATGCATAATTATTTGCCTTTGTAACCCTGTTGTGTTAGCGAGGTCCTTGATGCTCTCTGAGCTTGATTGTTTTTTTTCTCAGAAGTTTCATTACCCAGCTAGGTAACATCATCAGGGCTGGCACTCCAGCCCTGCTGATGTTACTTAAGTTTGGGTAATGAAATTTCTGAGAAAAAAACAACCAAGCTCAGAGATCATTGAGGACCTTTCATTTCAGCCCTGAGCTACAAACATTCTCCTCCATTGGCCTGCAGTGTTTATTTCCTCTCCTATAGCTTTTTTCACTCCCTTGTTAATGGTACTTAGTTACATTGTAAAATTGACCACTAGCGCAACTAGCTGAGATGGAGTTGGTGATGATGTGAGATCTTTGAAGGTTCTTTAAAGCAGATCATTCAGTCTCCTTCAGTTATAACTTTGGTTTGGTTTCTTATACTTGTTAATGCACACATTACTTGTTATAAGAGGAAACGTTCAAGAATTTCAGTGTTCTAGTTCCTAAAATATGGAACTTACCTTAGGAACAATTTTTATTTGGTTGAATTTGAGGTCTCTCTATCCATCCATCCATCTACCCGCACACACAGAAACATACATATATTAGGAAAAAAAGTTACTCTCTTGATTTTAAAGGATGGATCCACATTGTGTTATTTCTGAAAAGTTTGTGTGCTTTAAAAATGAGAAAACGACACATTATGTGACACATAAGGGTGGGTTGCTGCTGGTTTTACTACCCATATGCACAATTTACAGTGAACTGCCCATGCGCAGTCACTAGAAACCAAAATGGCGGTGGCCCAGCAGCGGCAAAGGAAGCAGTTTGGGGGTATGGCAGGCCTGGGTCACTGCCGGTTCTGTGACCCAGGTCTGAAGTCCACTACCAGTTCAGTTGAACTGGGCTGAACCGGGAGCAAACCCACCTCTGTTATGTGATTATAAGATCTAAACTTAATGATAAGCTCAATAATGGACTTATTTCCATATACATATTTATGTTTATCGTAAGGAACTTTTCTTTTTTCATTGAACAGAATAAAACTATTCTAAAATTTATATCGATTTAGATCAGATTGGGGTTAACTGTAGGGGTGATGACTTACTTCAAGCATATTCTTGTTTTCTTTGTATCTATTTGTATATTTGTTTTATTTTTTTGAGTTGGCCAGATGACTAAGCCAATAAAGATTCATTTGGATGATAATGTTGCTCTTTTCTCCATTGGACTGTAGACCTCTCCACTTTTTATTGTAGACTTCGTTTTATATTTCATTATTTTAACAATTTTTAAAAAAAACTCCCAGAAATGGAGTAAAACCCATTCAAGCAAAGAAATCCAAGATTTTGAGGCTAGAAGAGTATTTGGGAAATTGTGTTTGTGTGTATGTGTGTGTGTGTGTTCCAATCTAACTCTGGAATGCCTCGAAAAATTTCAACCAAACTTGGTACACAGATGACTTACTCTCTGGAAACAAACACTATGTGGGTAAGACACCCCTAACATACCTCGGGGTATGTGTTCTGTTCAGATACAGCCTGTTGTGCCTTAAAATGGCTTCTACTGTACTGCCTTAAAGTGGAATTGCCATGGTAACGGCTTCACAGTATTCCACAAGGGGGCTCCATCTGCTAAGGGGAAAAATCCAACATTAGAAATTACATTTGGACCAGACCTATAAATAAATACCCAGGCAACACCGGGTTATCGGCTAGTAGTTCTCTAAAAAGACTTGTAAGACAAGATTTGCTCAATTCCAAAATGGCTGCCAGAGGGACATCAGTTACCAAGCAAATTCATTGCAATCTTACTTGTCCTCTCCCAAGGATGTTCTCAATTAACCTTCATCTCTGACCTTGTCTAGACATACTTTCAGGTTAAAATACCAGGCTGCAGCTGCCCAGTTTTACTACAGTAATCAGAAGACCTGCTGCTCATTTTTTTAAAAAAAACTTCAAATAATTGTTTCATGAAATAAAAAATGCCAGATGGGAAAAAGAATCTCCCGGGAAAGTCCTGTTTTGAAGTTAGTTTTGTGTTTCTGGATATCATTTAGGAGACTCCGCCATTAGATGAACAGAGACATTTTTTGCCAGTTAGTATGGATCAATTCGTTAAAGAATCTAAAAACTGCTTCGTTAGTGTCTAAGAACTTTCAGGGCTTTATATGTATAAAGTCCCGAGTCATATTTCCATTTCAGAAAAAAAAAGGATCAACAATGAATTATCTTAAGTGGTTAGAAATTGACATGTCAAAAGCAGAAATCCAGTTTGTTTCTGTTCCCCTATCTTTTTTAACCGGAAAATTAATGTCACAAGTTTTAGGTCATGTTATGGTTTCATAAATATCTTGCCATGAAGAATTCTACAATTTCCACTAGAATCCTTCACAACTTTCTCCAAATGCATTTCGCTTTCCCCGAAATGTATTCCTGATTATTTTTCCACAGCAGATATAAAGCTTTTTCTTTTTAAAGGCTGATCTGGAGAAATATAAATTTACAGGACAATGTTTTTGAAATGCAAAAATAAACTGAGGGGATGAAAGCAGATACATTTGTAGTCCAACCCTTAGACAATTACAACTCCCCAAAGCGAGTAAGTCTCTTATTGTAAATGTCCTACAACACCTTAAGGAATACTGTACAATTTAGAATCAAGCCAGGGTCAAAAATAGTTTCTACGGTAAGTGTATTTTTCTACCATCACTATTACCACTACTCTAAAATTCCTACTATAATGCTGTTAGAACTAAGGAGAAATTTCCTGACACTGAGAACAATTAATCAGTGGAAAAACTTGCCTCCAGAAGTTGTGAATGTTCCAACACTGGAAATTTTTAAGAAGAGATTGGACAACCACTTGCCTGAAATGGTATAGGGCTTTCTGCTTGAGCAGGGGGTTGGACTAGAAGATCTCCAAGGTCCCCTCCAACTTTGTTATTCTGTTGATCTGATTTTTTGTTAATAGCTAAAAACCAGTGATACACAAATGCAGCATAAGCCCTAAAATACGATTAATAATGCCTAGGTTTCTTTCAAGAACTTCTCAGATTTTTTAATATACACGATAGGGCTTAGGGCTCCATTGTATATAGGTTGTTGCCAGTGGTGGGATTCAACCAGTTCGCACCTATTCGGGAGAACTGGTTAACTTTCTAAGCAGTTCGGAGAACCGGTTGTTGGAAGAAATCTCCTTTTGTTTTTTTCCACTTCTCAGGGCTAATCCTATAAGAAAGGCAGGAAGGAAACATTCTGGTGTTGCTTCTAACCTCATCTTTATTGCCCTGCTTACAGAAACTGCCTCTCCGGTTAACCCTGATTACATTGTAACAGCTAAGGCGAAGCGCCCATTGTGGGTAAAATGAGAACCCAGATTGTTGGGGGCAATATGCTGACTCTGTAAACCACTTAGAGAGGGCTGTAAATCACTGTAAAGTGGTCTATAAGTCTAAGTGTATTGCTATTAACCAAAGACTGTCTCATTTCTTTTGTCTGTTTTTAAAGAATTTATTGCACGTTGCATCACAAACATTTTCTCTTGCCAAATCATGAGATTTGCAAATTCGGCGTGCTAATTTCACTGCTGTTTCCACTGCTAGTGTTGTGCAAGCCCAGGCGAGCCAGGGAGTGCAAGAGCGTTTGTTGGTGTCCATGAGACAGCGGGTGGTGGGCCTCACCGAGGTTACTCATCAGGCCGTTCGACATCAGGCAGTGGGTGATGGAATTGCAGTGAGTCAACTTCTCTTCCCAAAACTGTTTATACAGTTCCTGCATTTCCTTTTCCATGTGTTTGTTAAGCAACGAGTTAGAAAGGGGCTCCTTGTGGGGAGCCAGGCTGTTCTCCCCAACGTCATCCCCGGGCCCCACCTTTAGCACCCTGGGTTTCTGTAACGGGAAGGGAGCATCTAAGGGGAGGTCTGTAGACAGTAACACGGGACCAGACAATTCGTTGTAAGTCTGGTACATGAAGCATCCGGAATCACATTGTGTATGATCAGCGATATGATCTCCTCCAATATGCAGATCGGGATAATTCTGATAAAGACTTTGGCATGACCAAGATCTGTACAAATCCAGATCTTTCCCACAGTACTGCTCTTGAACTGGTAAGCGCTGAGGAACAGACAGGGGTATTTTCTGGATTTTGTTCCTTGGGGCATCTTGTCCAGGGATCTGCTGATGACTTTTTGGATCCATGTTCCCACCACCAGTTGCGTCCTGATTAGATTCCGTAAAGAGCTCTTCGTTTTCATCCGTATTTGCCAACTGGCTTTGCCAAGTTTCTTGTCCGACAGGTTTCAGCAACTGGCTTTGATGGGAGTCAAAAAGCTCACCTTTATAGGCAAAGACAGTTATGAAGCTTTCTGCCAGCATGGTGGCTCAGAAGTCGGACCTTCAAAAAGACTATGCAGAGCAAATGCCTTAAAAAAATAATACACAGAGAAGTTATTTAGAGAAGGAAAGAGAAAACAAATTCAGTTGCTTAATTCATTGTACCTCGGTTAAGACAGCAGCAAAATATCCTCAGCCTTCTTTAAACCAAGATGTTCCTGGTTTATTAGATTCCAGAATTCCCACATCAGCATGGTCAGCGTGTAGGAATTCTGGAATTTATAGTCTAAAACAGTGGTAGTCAACCTGGTCCCCACTGCCCACTAGTGGGTGTTCCAGCTTTCATGGTGGGCGGTAGGGGTTTGCTGTAACTCTG